GTAGGCCATTTGGCATTCCCCAGGGATTTTAAGAAAGTCTTCCAGCAAAGAAACTAAGTTCTGGTGAGATAATAGAGATGGTCTTCATGTGGATAAATAAGCAGCTATCTGGTAATTTCCTATGAAAAATGGAAAGTAAAAAGCACAGGTCAGTTTTCCCAGAAGGAGATGATTGTGCTCCAGAAGGTCTACTCTGTGCAGCACGTTACATAAATGAGCTGGAAAGAAAAATTATTAATGCATTAGCACATTTTGATGATACAAACCTATTGAAAGTACTTAAGGTGAGGACAGATTGCAAACAACTATAGAAAAACTTCACAGTACTGACTGTCAGCAAAGTGATGGCAGATGAAATAAAGTGCTGATAAATCTCAAGCAAAACATGTGAAAAAAGCTATCCCAAATTTATCCCAAACAGTAATGAGCTCTTTAGGCCTTTCAGCATTCCTTTAACACTCATGAAAGAGGTCTTGGAATCATAACATCCTCTGAAAACATCACATCAATACTTAGGACTGTTCATAGAGCCAAATGCAATGCTAAGAATTACTGAGAAAGCAGAAAATATCATGATGCCATAGTGCAAGTCTCTGTTGTACCTCTATCATATATATAGTAGGAAGTGTTTTGGATCCCAACTATAAAAAAGATTATAGCAGATTAGATAAAAAGTAACCAAGGACAGAATAAATGGTGTCGGAGTGGGGCTCCTCTTACGTAATTTCTCATCTCTCAGGTAGCTGTCTGCATGTGAGCTGGTTGCCTAAGCTCACAGTATAGTCAATGAAAATCTACCCATTTCTGTTGTAATTCAGAATGTGATTCATGCCATCTTATTGTGAAACCTTACATAATGTTCAGTTCCTGGTTTTGATTAGCTATTGAATATAAAGGAACCATGTGGTGAATTGCTCAGATGTTAATACCTTATAGATATCCACATGTAATCATATATGTCCTGGTCTTTGTATATTTAACAAGAAGAAGCTAAAAATAATATGCAAGGTTTGTAGATATTGCAAAAGCACAAGTCCACTCAGAATGGTTGGGTGCTATCTCTCATGAGCTAAGAATTAGGGACATCTCAAATGGGTCTCTAGTGTTAGGTTTAAAAAAAATCAAAAAGGAAATGGTTCTTTAACCTAAATACTGACCTTACCATAGGGTATTTTGGATAGTAAGAGCATATGTTAATCCAAAATCGAAGTATATAATTCCATGGAAAAAGATTCCATTGAGGTCCGTTTGATATAAAAATACAGCTTCTGGCTCCATAATTTCTGAGAGTTTGCTAAGCTGGAAGAGTACAGCAAGGAGCAGGGATGCTGATGCTTTCCTTTGCCTTCTTCCCTAAGCAGTTGTATTGGCTATTATCAGACAAGGGACTGGGCAAGATGAGCTTTTCATCTGACTGATTATGGTCACTCTGTGTTCTCTAGACTTTTAATATATGTCTGGTTAGGATATCTATGGCACGTGTCTTCTAGAGTCCTTACTAATGTTCCAAGGCATTTTAAAATATTTTCTGACAAGACCGTATGGATCATTTAAAATCCAATCTACCACCTACAGTATCACAAACCATTGAAATTCTTTCTTGCATAAGGGCAATTATAATGAAGATAATTTGGGGCTGGTTGTCCTATTGCTGTTCACACTGTGAACTCATTTACATCCTGAGCAGTTTAATGGGTTCAGACATGTCTCCTTGTGGTAGTAATACTCTACTACTCACCATGTATCTTGTTTTTAAATTATCAACAATATAGTTACCTAAATTTTTCTGATGTAAACCTGTTATATATATATAGTGGTCTTTATGCAAAAGGAAAAAAAATAGAAAAAAATTAATCAGTCTTCTACTATACAAACTAATGATTAAAAATATAAATATTTCTCTTAAACATTTCAGTCATACTGATAAAAATCACAATCCAGTAAAAATTCTAAATTTCTGCTTCTACAGATGCCAAGTACTGTAGAAAATATAGAAATTATTATTATACAGTAAACCTGTTCAAACATTCATTGAAAAAATGAATTTCACTGAATTTCACTTACTCTGAGACAAAAGCCCAGCTTTAAAATCATGTATTTTGACTGATGGAGTGGTTGTCTGTGATAAACTGTTGCTTAAAGAAGCCTTATAGTCACTGACTTCTTAACCATATAATCTCATATGCCAGTTCTTTCTATGGATACTTTTTTTTCTGTCTGCAGTTTTTAATTGTAAGCTTGTTGGTATTAATTAGGTAGCTGTTCATTGACTAGCATTCTCTTTATGTTCTTGCTGTTTGTTATGTTTTGATTTGTCCAACTAATAAAAAAATACCAGTAAAAATTCAGGCTTAATGATAATAGAATACAGAATGTCGAATTTAAAGATGGAGCAAAAGCTTTTGTATTTTGTACATTGGAAAATTAGTATCACACTGGAAAGATCATTATCCTTGCAGCACAAAAAAAAAATTAATAAAGACATTGATTAGAGAGGGAACTGAAGATAAGTTTTCTTCTTTACTTCCATATTTATTTCCATGATTTGATTTCTGTTTTTGTGACTTGCTTCTGTGCTATAGCCTTTATGGTGTGTAAAATACCTTCCAGTCAAAAAACCTTGTTGACTAATTATGAAGGTTCTTCTATTTCACCTTAGTAATGGTATAATAATTGTGTGAGTTACCTAGTCATTTATGTCGGGTAAGTGAGACCAGTGCTTTCTGGTCAACACTGCAGATGTAAGTAACAGGTCTAAAATCCGACAGAGACTAAAATATATGTTTAAAAACAAGTGCTTGATAAGCTTAAGCCTATGTGCTTTGCCTAAGCAGTGAACTTTTTCAATCAAAACCCTGCTCCTATTGCCATACAAATGGTAGAAAATTAACTTGATTTCATGCAGGAACTGCATTAAAGTACATTGTTGTGTGGGAACTGATCCTTGCATTTATTGATCTGCATGTATTTTACCCATGGTTTTTATTTTATATATATACATACATTTATTGTGTGTTTTAATTTTTATTATATATTACTTTTATTATATATATTACAATATCTCTAAATATATACAAATGTATATTTGTATTTATATGCAATGTGGACATTGGTGACACTAGCTTAGAGGTGTTCTCTCATCTTGGAAACCAAGCAACACTAGAGGAACTGAGTTGATCATCCCAAATATAAACCACAGAGTCATGGTCAGGGACCTGGGCTATGAAACTAGTAGATCAAAGGAAAAAAAGCAGTGAAATAACTGTTTGCAAGTGAAGTGTTCACACAGTGGTATATATATCTCTTCAGCCTTTGAGGTTTTTACCTTGCAAGAACAAATGTCTATTTTTAAACCATGTTGTTTGTTCTCTGAACTCAACTACTAACTAAAAAGTTCAGGGTAAGCACATATATAACTCTATGGGACAAAACCAAACATGAGTTCTCTTCTTTTTCTTTGTATTTCAGACCTTGCTTGACACAAAACTGTAGCTCAGTATTCTCTGCAGTAATGTCAGTTGTATTCCAATGGTATTAAAACTGGTGAAATGGGGAAGTCAACTGTTATGTTATGAACTCAGTGTATGCATCTTCTGTCACATGGTGGCACTTGCATCACTCTCTGTGCTTCCCTTTGCGAAATGCACACCCCTTCTGATGGTGTATTTTATAGATTTATCATTAGAGTCATTCACTGCATGAGTGCCACTTAAATCAGTCTAACTTCTTATGTTGTAGGGTAATTTAACATAATTGAGGGAAGCCAAGTCTGGTTTTGAAAGACATTTGAGGAACAATTTTTCAACGATGTTTACCTTTAGTGCTGTTTATGGCATTCTAATGTCTATGAATGTCTTCATACTGTTTACTCTTAAGGTTCCCTGAGATACTGGATGGTCTTTGTTTTTACCTTATTTTGCATCACGTGTTGATGAAAAGATTACTAGGCAATAATTTCAGCTTATTTGATTATCTGTAATGAGATGCAGACCACATGTGGTTTATATTAAAAATACTGAGAGAAAGGAGCTAGAAAGCAAGACTAATATAGAAAGTAAATTATTCTGCCTTTGTGTGTAGACATCATATTGCAACAAAATGTACTCCTGAGAATCATAGAATTTGTCCCTTAGAAATGACTCATTGTTACATTTTGACATATTTTATCACATTAAAGATTCATAAATGTCTCCTTAGAAAAGATAGATATGCAGCAGTGGAAGATCTACATAGAGATTCCTTTCTTTGACACAAAGTCATGATGCCCTGAATTTATCTGAAGGTACCCAGATGCGTCACAAAAGCATCATCATCAGGTTGTTGCTTTTAAAAACAAGAAGCTTGTAACTAGCAGTTTCTGGTTTTCAAATGCATTATTGAAATTATTAGCTAGACTGAAATTGTTAGCTATGTGTAAGAGCGTGAGACTCATGAGTCATGTAGGCCAGGTTGGGATTCATAGCAATTTTTTTTTTTGTACTTCCCATTTCTAACCTTTTGTTTGTTACATGTAAGATACTCAGGGTAAGATCATGCCCTTAGTGGGGTCTGTAATAGTTTTATCGTTGCTTCTGTTGTTTCCTTTGTTGTATTTGGGAACAGTTGTCATCCTCTCTTTTCCTGTGTTAAACAGTACTTAACTCTCCCATTAATCCCAAAGGAATATGTGTTACACACATGTAAAGGATGAGGCAGGACAGATGTGTGCTCTGCAGTGCACATCCCGGTGGGTGTGCTGGTTGGAAATGTGGTTTAACTGGCCAAAAATAGCTATGAAGGTTCCAACTCCATAGCACCTTCTGAAATGCTGGGCCTTACCCTTGAGACCTAAAGTCTATATGAAGTTATACGAAAAGACTGGTAACTGTACTATGACCAATATGCTCCTTCCTTTCAGCTTGATATGTATTATCACTACATTACTAATCAGCTGGTAGCAGAACCAATAGTTTTTGAAGTTAAGGCTTATCTTTATTTATAGTTTTATTTAATTCGCACAGGTTTATCGAGCAGAACTTGTACCCCTTAAAGAGAAGGTGCATCAAGTCAATGACCTCGCTCACCGGTTCACTCCCTCCGATATCCAACTCTCCCAGTACAATCTCAGCTGTGTGGAAGACCTGAACACAAGATGGAAGGTGCTACAGGTACATTGCATACGACTTTTTCTTTATGCTGCATTTAAGTAAATGTTTTTATTTCTCTGTGTTTGTTCCCTATGAAATAGCACCAAAGAGAACTAAGGAATTAAAAATGAAGCAAGCTTTCCATAATGCTGCCTCTATGAGAAGACAGTAGTTAAACCTGTTGCTCTATTTTCACATGGTTCTGAATACTTTATCAAATAAGATTAAGTAGCCCAGTTTCTCATATGGTGCAACTATGAAGTTAAAATACTTAATAGTTTATTTACCTTTTAGTATTAATATTTAGCAAATCTTGCTGCCTGATATATCATGTGTTCATTTATCACATGACTTAACCATGTTTTATGGATATTTCTATGGTGTATATAGAGGATTCACATAAGACAGTTTACTTCTGCTACTTCATTCCTTTTACTATGGTTTAAATAATTTCTGGGAGCAACAGTTTTAAATAAATTCTTTATAGATTAATATAGATTAATGATTCCATGCAGCGGAATCTGTAAAATCACACTTTCTGCCAGCGTCCACGAGGGAGGTATTCAAGCTCCCCCGGCCCCATCGCCTCACAACCGAGGGGTCTTCCGTGGCCTTCGTAACCCCAGACAAGGTCGTTTCACCACGTCATATCACGAAGACACAGGGGGGTCTTCGTGACGGTCTGGTATCTCTTGCAGGGCCTCTGTGCCCTGTCTCTCAGGCTGCCACCGTGGCAGCAGTGCAAGGGGGGAGAGCCAAGGTCAACTCCCCCTGCATTCCTCTCGGAGCTCTCTAGCTCCTTTCTACAGTGCATGTCGCACTTCAAGGCTCTTTCAAGTAAGAGTCCATCATCTTCCTCCTTCCAGGAGGTCTCAAAGGAGTTTTGGGGATCTGGTATCAGTCTTACCCCCAAGAACTCTGTAGCTCTCAGCTGCTGGCTCTCCTTTCCTCGACTCTCCTTCCAGGAGTCTCCTCTGCAGTGTTGAATGTTGCTTCTGCTGCTTCTTCAGTTCAGGTTCTTATCTCTGGCTCTCTGCCACTGTTTCTCTGGTCAGCGTCGGCTGCTGCTCTGTGCCCATGGAGAAAACATCTCCTGGCATACTACAGGCACCTAGCCCAGCTTTATGCTGTTCCAGGTCCCTGCAGCCCCCCAGCCAGGGGCTGGGAGGCCCCAGAGGGCCCAAGGGGCTCAGAGCCCCTTCCTCATGGCTCTACAACATGGCCACCTCTCCTACAACAACCAAACTACAACTCTTCTTTTCCGGTCTGGTTGTGGTATGTTTACATTTTTGCAGGAGCGCCCATTGGGCAGAACTTCAAAACTTCCAGGGGTTTCCACCCCTTGGGGTCTACCACTTCTCTTAGCCTCTGGGGAAAACAAGGTTCAAACCACTACAATACTGAAAAATGTACAAATTCTTATCTTGAGATAAAGACTTCAAACATGCATAGTTGTTTTTTTTTTTCCAAGATGCGCTGTATCTTAGCTTAGAATTTTTGGAACGGTGTGCATTAGAGAGCATATGTAAACATGTATGCAGTGGTGTAGGTTATATAGATCCAATAGCTGGGGAGTGATGTTATGATTAAATGAAGGTAAATGCAATTAAATTAAGTGCTGAATTTAACTTGCTATTTTATTTCTTGCTACATCACTACTTTAGGTTTTGAAATTGTGTTGTATTTAATTTGATATTTTGTTTAAAAAATGTAGAACTATGGGGTTTAATAAAGAGGTTTTCTTTCATTGTAAACCCCAAACATTATCAATAGACAGAAATGAATCGATTACCTCTTTTCTTACAATGGTGCTGTGAATTCTAATAGTCAGTAACACGTTATTGTTTCTTTATTGCTTCTCCAAAAGAAATCTCACAGCTCTGTGAAATCTCTGGTTTGTTATCAGTTCATGCAGATATTAACAGATTTTTTTTTCCTAATTCAAAACTTTGCAGTGAGAGTGATATTTTAAGTAAAAGATCATTACTGCAAGTTCTTTTGTCATTACTACCCACTTTTTCCCAGATCTTCATAATAGAGTTCAGGTAATATTATTAATTAAATCAACAGAAATATGGAAGACAAAATGGGTATTCCCGATATGTTTATGCACATATGAGAGAAATCATATCTGTTTAGTTTTTATAAGCAGTTGATTAAATTAACATATCTTCTATGATACATTGAAAACTACCTTATTTCACTGCTAAAATAGTTAATTACTTCCAGTGATTCACTGAAATATTCTTCATTACTTAATTGGGAAATAAAGGAAAGCAGGAAGATTTTTCAGGGTAAAAGCATCCAAGATATGAAAAACTCAACAGATCTGGGAGAAAGCCCAAGAATATGTTTTGCTGTTATCATTCATAAATACACTAGAAAGAGGACCAACCAGATATTGTAGATCATTTAAAAATATATAGGGCAAGTCACCTGTTTGCACAGAGTTCAAAGATAAAATGTTGTTTTCCACAGAGCTCAGGCAACATTGTGAACAATTCCCTTTGCTTTGTAAATTATTGTCTTGATTTATCGAATCCAGGTATTTGGAAAACAAAGTGCTTCATCTTCTCTGAAGATAGATACTTGGAGACAGTATGTCAGAGTGAGATGTTATGGCTGATAGAACAGAGAGTTACTTGGAATATTGTGGTTTACTGTCTTTTTTCATATTTACCTAAATGTCATTTGGAAGATACAGAGAGTAAGGTGAAAACAGTCCAGTAAATTTTTAAACACATCCTGAGGGGAAAAGACATAAGTAACTTTGAAGGATTATCATATACAAAAGGCCAAGTTCTGACCCCTAGAAAGAAGGGCACATCTGTTCCTATAAAATAATTTTTTACTTAAAAGGGAGCAGAGTTTGAGTTGCATTGAGATGCAGAGCTCATTCTTGTTAGAAGAGAATAGAATAGCATAGACTAGAATAGAATAGTCCAGTTGGAAGGAAGGTACAACAATCATCTAAACCAACTGTTCTGTGTATGATGTCTGCTGGACACTGACACACCTGAGTCGGACTTTTTAAAGTATTATGTGTTGTTCTGTCTTAGGGTTAGACTTACTTATGTATGACCAGCACTCCAGTTAGGTGTGATACTCTTCATAGAAAACTGAAATTTTGGCCATGCAATAGGAAAAAAAAAAAAAATTGTTTCATGCAAAACCATTTCAAGGTACACTCCTGTTGTTTGTTTCTGGTTTTCAATTTGTCTAATGGTTCTGTGTTATCTTTCTTTTCTATTAATTGCCTTTCTTAGACTAATGTCACCTAAAATATCTCCTTAGTGCTTTAGTTCTTTCATCATATTTTCCATTGATTTCAGCCTTCTGTGTATTTTCGTGTGTCTTTCTTTTACACTAGTGATATTTTCTCATTGGCTTCTATTAATTCTTTTTTTTCAAAAAGTAATTCTTTCCATATTCCTACTTTTCTCTGCCTTTCCCCATCTTACTTTCTTTATCTCTGTTTGTTTTTTTTTTATTCTGTTCTTCCCTTTTCCTAGATTCCTTCTCTTTTTTTTTCCCCTCAAAAGTTAAATCTCTCTCTCCTTGTCCTTTTCCTAATGGCGAAAATATTTCTTATCCATGCATCCCAGTTCCTAGAAAATATGAGTGCAGGAAAATCATAAAACAGAGCCTTCTGTGCTACGTCTTGCCATAAAGATGCCCATTCTTAGTTATGTATGGGAAAAGTGCATGAAGACATAAGATGTATCACATCTGAAACAACAGCAAATTCTAGTGTTATGAGAAAGTTAAAGAACATTTTGTAAAGGAGGAAATCATGTCTTGTTTGTTGCTTTATTAATACTGGGACTTACATAAGATCAGAGGAGAAAATGTATTGTTTTAAACCAAATCTTACAGAGATTTAATATTATATTCATTTTACAAGCATAAGAGTAAGGCCAATCATATTCAGTCATTTGCAGTATTTCACAATGGTTGTACAGTGAGATTAGTGCTGTTAGTGAATAGTATCAAATATTACTGCAGAATCTTCCCAGAACTTCATTTGTGTTTCTGCAGAAAGGCATGTTTGCTGTTAAGTTACCTGATTTGTATTCAGTTTTGGTGAATATACACTGGAGTATTACTGGAAGAAAAATGTATAGAAAGCACTCGACCAATTACAGACTCAACCAGCCCTGGTTTTGAAGTGTTATGTGAGGTGTATTTCATTAATGAAAGCTAATGCACTCAGCTCAGTCACTGAAAACTGTGTCATCATCTGTGGAGTTTAAGCAATGTGAAAATAATTAGCTTTGTGCCTTTAAAAGAGTAGTTTTGAGGAAAATATGCTGTTTAATTTTTTCATTTTTCTTAAACATGAAAGGAGATGAAATCTTTCCAGGGAGCTATTTGTTATGAATTTCACAAGGAGCTCTCATGTTCAGATCCTGTGTGCTTCAAACAGTATATGTAATGAGATCATCCTGGGGGAAAACGTGTTTGCAAACTCTTTCTTACTTCCAGTTGACATCTGGGGAGCCAGGGAGCCCAGATTGGTGGGAGCTATATCCATTTCACTTCAGTCAGAGGTCTGGTTGGTGTAGTTCTGGTCAAAGGGCAAAGACCCTGACATGTGAAAGAATTTACAAACATCCCACGGAGAACATGCACTTCAGTTATCAAGAAAGGGTTTTTTGGGTCTAAATCAAACTGTGTTTACTCTTATCTAGAATAGTACCTTTAATAAGCTGAAAAATATAGTAAGAACCACCTTTCATCCAAAAAACTGTACCTTTTCAAATATTTTGTTATGGTACTTATGTTCTAATTGTTTTACTTTTGAAAGTTGTAACAAACTGTTGTCATTCGTGAGTGGTTGTCTCTGAGCACATCAAAACCTAGAGCTAAACCAGCCCAAGGTCTTTTCCAACCTAAACATTTCTACAATTCTCTGATTTCTGTATATAATGTGTGACTGTAAAGAAGCATAAGCCCTGATTTCAGTATCATTCCCAAATCCTCAGCTTGTCTTTCACCAGTAGCAAAAATTCTCCAGCATG